GAGAGTCTTTGCCAACTTCGGATCGAGAAACAGGTTGCCCTCGAGGTTGCGGATAGCATCTTTGTCTCGACAGCCGGTCTGCCGAAGGCAGTCAATGACAGTCCGTGGAGGCCACACTGAGTGTCTGTTGTTGTAATTCGCAGATAACTTGATTATTCATGCTGTTGATGGCCTGCAAAGGTTTTAGTGTGTAGGAAAGGTTGAAGCTGAGGGTGATCCATGGCATAGCCATAAAGGGATAGTGGGTCCATGTCCTACAAGTCCTCGCAAAAACCAATGTCGTAACTCGCAAGTTGCCATGCAGGCTGTGGATAGTCCCGCCAGTCGCCACCATGCGAGGGCCACGGAAAATGTCTATGAGCATCTTCGTTGCAATGAACTTTGCAGTGTGCGTTGCAGGGTGAACCGTTAGTCTGCCTTGCTAAGCATGTCGCCTGGCTTGATCACAACCATTGGACAGGCATCCCGGCGTTGCAGCTCAAGCGTTGCAAGTGGTTGCGATCGCACTTTCGGGATACCGATGCCATTGCCGTCTTCTTGGGACACGACCCGTCCACAGCAGAAACAGTTCGGACAAGCTTTGTCAAGTTCTGCAAGGTGCAGGGAGCGATGATGCACCCTGGATGCGTTTTCAAATTAGACTTACTTTGCTGGGCCCATTGCCGCCAATGCTTCTGTAGTGAGTCCGCTCGTGACAAAGGAAATGGCAGCATCCAGTTGTGCCAGTCGTGCAGAGAGGAACGACAGGATTGTACGTCGAGTACGTGGTTTTCGGGGTAGGTCTAGGCCTCAGGAATCCGGTTTCCTGGGCTTGCCGTGTTTTCAGAGACATTAAGCGCAAGCCCGAAATTGCTCGTGTCCCAGGCGAGAAGTGTCCGGCCAGTCGCCTTTGTCAGCTTGTGGAAGTCGATGCCTACCCAGTGGCAGCCACCGGGTTTGAAGTCAAAGGGTCGGTGAGTATCACTTGGGATTTATGTTAGCGGGCATGGCTTCTTCTTGCCGGTGTTTCCATCTGCAGTCTGCTGAGGAGCTTCGTGTGCAGACCTGCGCGCACGTGAAGGACGAGCAGCTCTCAGAGCACTTCTTTGCCAGTCGGCAGGGTCGTGCCCTGTCGCAGGGTCGGGCCAGCACGGATGCGCAGAACGACCCAGCTGCGGAGGTCATGTCTTGCCCAGCGTGCATCTTCTTTGAGAGTGCTTTGAAGCAAGTCAAGACCGTGTCGAAGCCGAAGCCCACGGAGAAGAAAAAGAGGAAAAGCACGGATGGGCTGCAGGGCTTGCAGGACATAGTCTCGAAGCTGAAGAGCACCGGAAACGATGATGATTCGGAGTCCGAGGTCGAGGAGGATGATGCGGACGGGTCCGATGGAGGAAGCGACACCGAGTCTGCCGGAGAAGATGAGGACACAGCTGGGCAGGGTCAGTCCCCGCATCAGGCACGCCCCAGCGGCTCGCACAAGTCCGTGAAGTCTCGGCACACGCAGAAAGCAGGCGCCCAACCAGGAGTAGTGATTATAATTCCCACCGCTTTCCATTTCAAAGAGGTTTAAGGTTGTGCTGTCTGGGGAGCCTCATTCAGAGTCAGCGTGACAGTGAGAGGTGTCTTCAAGAAGCGCACGTACCTGAACGGCCTTTCGGAGGAGCTGTACAAGCAACTGTTTATGCAGCTGGACCCGCCAGGTGTCATCGTCACGACACCCATGAACTCCGCCGGTGCAGGGTGCCTGGCTGGCCTTCTCCTGTACAACGAAGCTGTTGCCGATCTTGGCAAGGGTGCGCTGTTGGCGATCCCGACAGTGCAGCTGCGTCCGAACATGAAGAAGATTGCGGCAGCCAAGGGCAACAAGGATTCCAAGGATCGGCGGTTCGCGTGTGTTAGTGCGTCCTGCCTAGAAGTCTAGAGGATATGAATTATTAAGGTGTTCGGGGTTTCTTCCTGGAAACAAGTCAGGCGGAGATCCAGGCCAGGCTCCAGTGCCAGCGCGCGGTGCAGTTCCATAATGCCAGTCACCTCTTTGCTCGCACAATCCAGCGTCTGGTCTCTAATCTACAGGTGCCGTCGTGAATGTTATTTGTCAATCGTACGTCGAACGGTTGGTTGACTGCCAACGTTAACGTTAGACTCCTGTTGGCCTGTTGATGCTTGAGGTATTTCACGAATCGCCAGACGAGCAGGGTGTGCGAGTCTCGGTGGTTCGCTCTCGTCCATTCACTAAAACAAGCTGCTTCAGCTCCGGGCCCAATGCATAAACGGTGGTAGCGCCACCTGTCGCTGTATCTTCAGGTCCGCTGCGATGCAAAACGTGACCGCAACTCCGGAGAAGAAGATCAAGCAGGAGGTGAAGGGCGGACTGGAAGAGTACTT